CACTTACAGTTTAAAAGTAAAACTCCTGTCAAATAATCACAAGACATGATCATCACTGTACAGTTCTTTCATTGTCTGATGCCTTGACTTTTCAGAATTATGTTTTGTATAGTGGTATTAATTTATATTTTCAGATCTTCCAAGGTGCCAATTATGGAACTCTCTGTGCGTTGTTGCCCAAATCAAATTCTGGAAGTGGTCATTCAACTAGATCTGTTACAAAAGGACAACTGATATTACCAACTTTTAAAAACTGCTAAGGCCAGAGGTCTTTCTTCCATGTTTATACTAAAGCATGGAATGAMATTCCTCAAAACATAAAGTCCATTTCAAAACTACAGCACTTTAAGAAGAATCTTGTCTGCCATCTGCTGGACACATTTTGTTGTGCTCATATTCAGAAGTCCTATTTTGCAAATGCTGCCTTCCTGAAATTTGCTATGCTTGTTTGTCTTTGTGTCTATGGTGTTATAATAATGATGCGATTGTGATGCTCTAATTCTGAGTGCTTTATGTGCTGCAGAACAGGAACCTGCTGTAAAACAGCAATTATGCTGAGTCAGGCTTGATTTTTAATAATCTTTTCCTGTTAAATAAATAAATCAAATCAAATCAAGGACTTTCCAATACCAATTTCCTCAAATTCAAGAACTACGTGCGACGGCAACTGCCTACTGCTACCACATAATGTTACCAATAAACAGTTTTAATATCATGAAAATTCAATAAAAAACTGGGAATCATTGAAAGAAAGTGGATGAAATGTATACCCTACATTCATATCTACAATACATGGACATGTAATTATGTCCTGGGAGGTTTGGCAGCTCAGTTTGGGAGGAGGGGATGTGAACACGCCCAGATGCTCGGTGAGGACAGGAGGAGCTGTGGTGCTCTCACCTGGGCTCAGAAAGAAGACCCGCCCGACTCTGCTCTGATTGGGTAAAACTATGACTATGGCTCAGGTTATTTGTTAAAAGCCATGTCAGTTGACCGTAATCCTGAGTTATCCACCTCAACAAATGCATTTTTTTATTTAAATTTTTTTTACAGATCATTAAAATCAATTGTGTGAATAAAGAACTTCAATCCCCAAAAAACATTCAAGGACTTTCAAGGACAAGTGTTATTTTTGGTTTTTTTCACAAACTTTCCAGGGCTTTGAAATCATTATTTTCTAATTCACAAACTTTCAAGGATTTCAAGGACCCATGGGAACCCTGAAATATACAATTTTCATATGCTCAAAAGGAGTGGGCAGAAGTATAAATTTACATTAGCCCATCCCTTCTCCTGCAACCTTATTCCCATCACATCTTATTCATTAAAAAATAAATAAATAAAAAAATCTTCATTTCTAAAAAATAAATGGATACATCAACACTGTCCCCTGCAATTCCTTTTTAATTTCAATCCTTTGAAACTTGAAAGTTTTGTTTAACGATTAAACTGTTTAATTTATAAGTTTGCCTTTGAAATCTGTTGTTTATGTTTAAGAGGAAAAATAGGGGTGCACAATAGTTATCGGCCCGATATCAGGGAATTATGACGTCATACTTATCAGTCCGATATAACAGACAGAACTGAGAATATATGTATATGTTTGCCAGCGCGGCGATGAGAATGCGTGGGTTTTTTTAAATCCGTTTTGGTCAAGCTGCTTCCCGTCTTGACACGACCCGAGCAACGTTCAAGTTGCGTCGGAATAAACAACTTTCTCACTAGAAAAATAATTAGAATACTCCGTGTTGAAAAACAACCAGTCATTTTAAGTTTATTATTATTATTATTATTTTACCAATTAACCCTGAATGTTACACAAAATTTATAATTATAAACATCGGAACAACTACTCCCAATTTGAGAACATGTAAAATTTGTTACCTCCTGAATGCAGCACAGAGTCCGTTTGCTAAAATGCTAACAACAAGCTAGCATTCAAGAACTCATCGGGACTTCAATCATTGCTGAAGCTTTTGACAAATCCAAACGAATTGCCAGAGATGACGCAGATCTCAAGCACTTTAACGATGGAAATGATGACAAGCAGCCGTTCATCCTTGCTAAAAACTGAAGCTTTTATCTCCTTAGCCATGGTTTACCATGCTGAGCTGCTGCTCTGTGTGTCTTCCTGTGTAAGTATGATGTGGTCGCAATGCATTCTCACTTTGATTGACAGGTTATCATTTCTGCACTATTATCTCAGAAGCACTGTTTCAGGTAGAAAAATGTTTAAATCATATATTAATAAGAACAAAATTTGTACTTTGAATCTAACTTGTGTTAGTGCATTATCTGTTTTGAACTTGTGGAATGACTTGTTTAAATCTGAGATCAGTGTTAAAGGTCTTTTTTATAATTAATGTGCCTTATTTTAAAAAAGATAGCCATTTGAGAAATTGATTTGTTTGATATATTTTAAGAAATGTTTGTTTGCTAAGAGTTTATTTCAAATAGTATAATTTACAGTGTTACTTGGTTTTGGTGTTGTTTATGTTATGATCTTACCCATTTTTTGACTAGTCCTCTTGGCATGTTATCATTTATCGGTTATCGGCCATTAGAAGGAGAAAATTATCGGTTCTTAAAATGAGTTATCGTGCATCCCTAGTAAAAAATAAAGTGAATTCATATTTTGCAACACAGTTGAACCATTTTCATTATTTAAGAGCAGATCGAATCGAATCGTGATTTATCAATTCAGAACCTTATGAATCGATTTATAGAATTGGCCACGATACCCAGCCTTAGTGAATGCAGACATACCACTTTCATTTTAACATTTGTTGTTAAAAACATCTGCAGCCATGAGCTCAAGGCAGAATAAATAAAAATTCAAAGGGATATGATAAAGCGTAACAGCACATATGATGTGTCCCATCACATCAAATTTGGTCAAACCAAGCACRTTTAGATTAATGGCTCTTAAGCTACAATTTGATGCTTAAGATCACCACAATTTTGTGAGCAGTCCCAGAGATACATCCTTTTTGTGGCCATTTTTCAAGCCAAAGAAGAGATGTTTACCAGATTTAAGTTTGGGCTTTAACAACTAACTAAACGTACGTCAACTTAAAAAAAGAATGTATAAACAAAGCACGTGTAACTTTGATTTCATATTAAACCAACTGCTGATATTCTTAAAAGAACCTACTAGGACCAGCGAAGCCAGGCGCTGCTGTAGCTTGCATAGCCTCCCTTCTGTAGTCCCTGTCCTTAGGGAAACTGTTGACAACAGCAGTCTTTGTTGCCTCTTTTTGCCTCTGTTCTCTGTAAACACAAAACACTGATGTTACCCATACATGACTCAATGAAACCCTTTTGAAACTGAAAGCAAGTATGCAGAGCGTAGTACTTTCAGCTAGTAAATTAGAGCTACCTCTCCAGCCATTCTTTTGGCTTTTCCCACTGGGACACCTCTGTCCTGCAGTTGTAATAGTATTTCTTTCCAGAGGAACTGATGTGCTCTGACCAGTCGTCACCRGGCTCGTGAGGCTGAGTTGGAGAACACATATTTAGGAACGAAAAGCCAACCAAGCAAAAAGCAAGACACAAAATGTAAGGGTCTGATGCAAGAGCTTGTAATCTAATCTGAAATGTGCAGAAATGTTGGGACGAAAGCCAAGAGCCCTTACTGAGTTGTTGTTAGAGAGAATTAAGGTGTGGAGGAAGGCATAATTCAGAAACAGTTTCAGGTTATTTCAGAGGATTGTAACTGGCGTCTGTGTTCAGTTTCAGCATTTAGTTTGAGTTTTACAAAGTAAATTTGTGCTTTCATATCAACGTGTCATTGAGGACATTAGCATGTAGAAAACTTGTAAAAAAACAGAATACAAATACTCTATATAATACTGCAGAAGATACATGCTGCAAAAAATCCATGTGAAGTCTTGCAACAGAAGCCATTGTTAGGACAAAATTACTCATCAACACTGATTTTACGGTAAAGGCAACACTTACTGTGTCTGAGGTCTTGCTGGGGTTAGAATGTGAATTGGAGCTGTGCAGGGAACTGTGGTTGTGTGAATTTTCTTGTGGAGAATAACTGGGTCCTGAAACAACGCAAACAGATCAGAAGTTCAGTCATCTGAAGCAGAGACAAAGGTCTGAGTGATGACAAGTTGTCACATCGGCTTTACATTTGATTGCTTTAACATTTAGACAGGTGCAACAAAAAGTTCTAATTAATACCTCAAAGCAACCTTGCAAATCCATTTCATTTTATGACAAACATCCTCCTCAGTAAAACATTGGACATCAGTAGTGATTATATAACCTCCACAGGACACGGTTCCTAATCCAGTCTCATTTTAAATTCCAGGCTAGTAAAAATTTCCACACTAGTTTTACAATTTTTCACCACTTTTGGCGTACAAATGTTTTCTCTATTATTTCTTTACAGCAAATCACCTGAACATGCTGAACCATGGCCTAGAGGTCATTAGGCTTCTACCTGCTAATGCTGGTGTCCAAATGAAGCAGAATATAACTTAGTGTTTTCCCTACCATTGTACAAAGAGGGCAGTTCTCCCCCTTGACAGAACTGACTGACGGCCACACGTAACAATGCTCTCATCCATAAAGTTGAGGGGTCATACTAATTACAGGAGTAAAATTTGACTAACTATCTAATGTACTCTGGAAGTTTTAAAATGGTTTAATATGAAATGGTGTCACAGAGGATAAATCCTCCTAATTTTTCTTTCCCTTCCCTTGGTACGTCACGCAGAGCAAAGCCTACAGCTGCAATCGTAGTGAAATTKGTTTATCAGGGATAAACTTAAGGATTTTTTTTTCAAACAACCTGTTGAAAAAAATCTGGTTGTCCACAAAATATTTTGGTAAAAAAAACAAGTATATTGTTTTGTATATAAATTTCACTATATACAAATATTCTCAGTCAGCCAGGTTGATAGTTTCAGGAGCTGCTTGAGTAAAACTTCCTTGTTCTTTCCTCATCCTCTTCTTTGAAATRAAGAGCAAAAAAATCAACATCCAGCTATCTGCTTACAGGTCAAACTTTTTCATTTAAATAGTAGTATAATGTGTAAATGACCTTATTAAAAGTTGCAGTTTAGTGTTCTTAGGACTGGAAATATTCTGAGGAAAGAAGTTTTAAACAGCATTTTGGTTATTTTAGTGTTTTCAACTGAGGAGCTTTGAAATATTTATTAAAAATATAGCACAAGTTATCTGCACAGAAAAAAATATTTATTTTTACTGTATTTTTTTAACCAAACTGATAAGTTTCTCTAATAAAATTGTGTAATTTGAAGGCATCGAAACACCTGGTTAAATTTAGAATTAAAGCAGATACGTGTACAGGGCTCTACAGTGCGACCAATTTGGTCGCAAATGCGACCTGATTTCCTAATAGTGCGACTAAAAAAAAAGTCTGGTCGCACTGGTGCGACCGATCGTTCGATGGGGAGGGGTCGCCCGCTGAAACAAAAAGTTTCCATGTTCCATAAAAAATAATCCAGCMRTATCAATGGTCGCCTGCAGACAGTCTCATCTCTCCTAATAACACTGCGTTCTGCTCGCGGCTCCGCTCCACACCTCCCGCGCACACACATTTGTTGTTCTATCCTCATGGGGACATTGCATTGGCTTCCATTCATTTCCCTGTCAATTCTATTGCCAACCATAACCTCCTAGGTAGGCTACACAACTGACCCAAACCATAACCTCACCAGGCTGTGTGTACCGGGGAAATGGTCAATAATTGTACCCACCATGAAGCAAAAATCTGTACACACACACACACACAGCACGCATAGCGAAACAACTGTAGGTTTTTTTTAAACCCAGATCGGAGTCTGAAAAACATTTCTTTCTTGTTTGCTGGAGATGAAAACAAAATGTGGAAGGTTGCGCGCTCGTTCATCTTGTTAATTTAACAGTCGGGGTCTACTCTGTGAGCGCAGCAAATCATTTGAGCAGGACGGGGAAGCTCATGGGTATGGCAGGCCGCTTTTGCACTTAATCAACTTCAGCACAGTTACATTCCAAGTATCTGAAATTGGTTCTTCTGTGTCTCAGGAGGATAAAACTAGACATATTAGATATTTAATTGAAATAATATAAGATAATAAGATTCAACTAATCCTGAAATTGCAGACTTTTATGTGTTATTATTTAAAAAAACCGCACAAACTTTTAATAAATATCAGTAATATTTCTGTTATTAATAGGGCTGTGTATTGGCAAGAATTTGGCGATACGATACATATCATGACAGAGGGGTCACGATACGATATATCGCGATATATCCCGATATATTTCGATACTGTAAACAAGGCGATATATTGTGATTTTTTTGTCAAAAATTCTATTAAATAAAAACCTCTTACTGGGGAAAAATGAAAAACCAAAATTC